ATACAATTACAATATTACATTGTACATATGACTATGAGTGCTCATCTCTGGTCTCTCTATTTTGTGGGCTTGATATCACTTTTTTTTTCTAATGTAAAAGCCAACCTTTCAAGGTTTGGAGTAGTGATATATATAGTCTCGTGGAAATCTGCCCGTTGCTTGATCTTGAATATATTCGTTGACACGAAAATTTTCGTTGTAGGTGTCCGTTGAAGTAGATATAGTCGTTTATGAATAGTTTGATCCTTTCATTAAATGCATTTGGTCTTGCATTAAATGTTGCTTCCTGATTTTAGACATTGCATGTATTCATCTTTGTCTTGTTGTCAATAGTGTTTGACTTTATCTAAGACCCAGAAGTTGTTTGTCTTTTTCTAGTCATGCAGCAATATAGTCGTTGTCCTTTTCTGAAAAAAGTAATGTACTTTTTCTGACACATTCATGCTTTTACTTTTGCGTGCTTCTCTTCTTCTTCGTTTCTTCATTTAAATCACGCGTTTTACGTTGAGAGCTTCTGTGTGGTTGTACACGATGCTTAGACTAGTCCTTTGAGACTTGATTCTCTAAGTGCTTGCGTGGCAGTCTTCGTATTCTTCTATTAATCTCATGCGTCTCACATCGTGTTCTTCATTAGAGCATTTGTCGTTGATGCTTTGGTGTCTTATATGATTTAGTTAGTAGGATAGACTTGTTTTTGCCCAAAGTACATTTCGTTCTATGCTATCCTTCGTCTTCCATGTCGTTGACCTTCTTCTATTCTTTGTCTTATGTTTCATCTGTTTCCTTGTGTTTGTGTTGCAATGAGAATTGTTCTTGACACACATTTATCTGATGTTGGGTTTATGGTCATCTGGTGCTCATAATATGCCTTGTCTGGTCCTTATGACTTGCCTTGCCTCGACTATGCTTCATCTGAAGATTACATGAGCTTCGTCTAATGTTCAATCTTCTTTCATCTTATGCTTGACTTAGTCTTGCTTTGGCTTTTTGTCCGATGCTTTAATTGTTTGACTTGTAGTGGCTTCATCCAGTGTTTGTTGCATGTTCTTCCATCCGTGATCAGATCTAATTTGATGCTTGACTAGACCATCATCTGATCTTTGTTTGCACAGGCTTCATGGATTCGTGCATTTAATGCATTTGATTTTGCATTAAATGTTACTTGTTGAATCTGCATTTCACGAAGTCTTATGTACCATTTGTTTGCTTCTATGTCTGACATTAGTCATGTCCCTGATACCTCTGTACTTTCCTTGTATTGTGGCTACAACGACATTGTCCTTTGTTGACTGGTAGGTGTACTTGCTCTGACACACGCAGCTTTCATTTGTGAATAAGCACTAGTCCATTTTATTCTTCTTTCTTCTTTTATTTGATGACTTCATATGTTCTTCTAAGAGTGTGGATGCTAGGTAGTTCTTCTCGTTGTGACTTCAGACGCAATCCAACATTCTTGATTTTCGTCTGTGTATTCTAGTCTCTATCTGGTTGGCTGGTGTAAGTACTTGACTTCATCTGAGGTGCTTTAACTTAGTTTTGTCCATCGTCCATGGTCTTGTATCATCTGAGACTTCATCATTTTCCTTCTTGTGCTGGGCTTGCTTCCGTTTGATTGTTTGATTTTCTCATCTGACATCTTGTTAACTTTTGTCTTTCATCTTGGTTGCTCGTGCTCTGTTCTTTATTTCTGTTATGTTTGTGTTTGTGGATGTCTTCGTCTGATGTATTCCTTTTCATTTGATCAGCCTTTATCCAGTGCTTAGCTCATATCTCTTGGTTTTGGTGTGGATGGTAATACATGCATATTTTTTATTCTTCTCGTACCTGTACTTATATTTGAAACACTAACACACTTGTTAGACATAACAATATGTATTATATTTGTCACATTCAAAACCTTGCTGAGAATTTCTTTCGTCTTTATTTGACTTAACAAGTTCCACTAATTGTCATGAAGATTCTTGATGTGTTATTGTCCATATTGCAGTTTTGGGTGGAGATTATATGTGGTTGAAAGATTGCTTACTTTGGTTCCACAGTGGGTAACAAATGTTCTTACTAGAATTTGCAAATGTTTCGATGGTGGGATGACATCCTCGTTGCTTCAATATTCATGGTAGTGAAGACACTTGCAAAAACACTCCGATACTCAAGTTAGAGGGGAGTTTAGATTAAGAATGAAATTATGATTTTTGTGATACTTAAGTGCCTCATATATAAGTGATTGATCTTATCTCTAAACTTAAGGATAATGTTGCATGACTTTAAGAGATATATTTTTTGATAAATGAAAATATTATTCTTGGTAATGTGATCCTTGGTTATGGGGAATGTTTTATATAAATATCATGTTGTATGATATTTTAGAGATATATTTTGATGATTGTGTGAAGATATTGTCCTTGATAAGTGTGAGTTTCTATAGCCGTTAAGATAATCTATCAAATACTTTGTGACATTGGACGAGTGGGTGAGTTCATATCTTTCTCTACTCATATGTTTGTGAAGTCATCTTGATTGAACTAGACAATACACCTATGAATTAATATATAAAAAATGCATTAACTATTATAAATAATTATAATAGATGAAAGTCGAATTAGATAAAAAAAATAATAAAAAAATCTCTACTTTGTTAAGGAAAAACTCTTAAAAACAATCTTATTTAAGATAGATATTTGTGTTTAATATAGAAATTGATTTTAAGAACTTTATTAATAATTTTTTAATTTTAAAAATTAATACGATGATGTTTTTAAATTTAAGGAATGAGTGTTTACACAAACAAAATGTTGATGAATATGGAGTCGATTGGAAGCAATGACTAAAGATTCTGGATTACAATGAAAACAAAGACATGCATTCTATAGAAAACAAAAATCTAGAATCAGAGTGAAACTTGATAGTTAGAAGAAAACACTGCAAGATTAGCAAAAGCTAACAAATATTCGCCAGGCTGATGTCATAATTAGTTGAAATTTGGTGAATTTTGGCGAAGCTCGTGGAAGATTATAACGTCACGTTTTTTCTAAGAAATAATACCAAAATGTACTTTCTTTAAGACTTTCTTCAAGATCGATATTTCCACCGTGAGTTCTCGCAAAGCTCGTTTCCGATGGTGGTTCACCACTTTATTGCAACTTGTGTGTTGTTAAAAAAATTGCTCTGTAGTCTGTACACTTTCGAACCTCACCCAAGATTCTCAAAGCATGAATTAAGGGGTAAATAAGTTTTTGATTTTTCAACTTTATAAGAATTTAATTTTTAGTCTCTTTTAAAAAAATCTTCTAACCAATTTTAAGCCTTTTGTTATTTTTTATAACATAAATTAGTTCTTAGAGTCAAGTCTTCTCTATTATTTGATAATGTATGCTAATAAATAATAACTAACTTGATTATTATTGATATTCACATGACTATTAGGTAAATATTAAATCATATGATGTATTACATGTAATTTTTCTATATATTCTCTTATGAACAAACATTATATTTTTAAAAATAAAAAATGTTATTAAAACATTTTCACCCATATAACCAAGAATAATTAGTAAAATTATACTTATCATATGATTTAACATCTATTAAGTAGTCATATGAATAACAATAGTTGAGTCAACCATAATTTATTAACACATATTATCACTTGACAAGTAAAAATAAACTACACAATCTAATTTACGTGACAGAAAATTAATTGAAGACTAAAAATTGGAAAAAAAAAATTAAGGACTAAAAATTATATTCTTAAAAAGTTGAGACTAAAAACTTATTTAACCCATGCATTAATTATGTGGGAAAGGGAAAAGGAAAGAGAAATAAGTTCTAATGTAGACGCTAGAGTTGTCAAAGTGGACTCTGGCCGATGAGTCAACCTAACTCACCACTGGTTTGAACCCGTGGTAAGCTAGGCTGGCTAACCAATCCATGATTAAAAAAGAAGCAACAATTATTGGGTCACGGTGCAGCCTAATATGAGATAGGGTCCATTTTTCATCTTTTGTTGCAGTTTACAATTTTTACTTTCAGGTTTTAGCCCAATATTTAGATAGGTTACAAATAAGATAGGGTTTCAACTTTCAACTTCTAAATTTCATAACCGTTCACGCCTCACCTTAATGCAGCCAACCCCTCACCCACCAACCAAAGCCACCCTCACGCTCACATCCACCCACCACTATCAGCCACCCTCTCACGCTCACTCACTGCACCACGCCACCACTCGCGTGGTCGCACCTCATAGTCACGCTTAAGGCACGGCGGATCACCGCCTCACAACTCGTGTCGTGAACCACCTCACACCATGCACCACCATGCGCCACGCGCCACTATGTGCTACGAGCCACCATGAACGTCGTTTTGGGGCCCCATCACCATTGTCCTGACACTGTCTATTTGAGATTAGTTAGATTTTATTTAATTGAATTTAGAATTATTATTTAATGTTTAGGATGAATGATTCATTTATAAATGTCTTAACTAAAAATCTCATATTTTTAAAATAAGTTTGAAGATTTTGGGTTTTAGTTGTATATATTAAGGAAAAAAAATGAAGAAAAATTACATTTTTTAAAAAATTAGGTAAGCCAATCTATTTAACCCATCAATCCCATGGTGGGTCAGGCTAAATTTGATTTTTTTGAGCTTGCTAATAAATGAGACAGGTTGGATTGACCCACCAAATGGTCAACTCGTGATCGGTTGGGCCAGGTTGGATTAGATCGGGTGACCTGTTTTGACAATTCTAGTAGATAATACCCAAGAATAAGTTATAATAGACTTACTCCACTTAATAACTTATACGTTCTATATCAAATTTTAACAATTTAATTATTAAATTAAAAGTTCTTAATATACAAATTAAATTTACAAATTTTTACAAAATTTAAAAATTATTTAATATTTCATTTTATTAATAAAAATTGATAAATAATCATAAAATATTTTATATATGTCAATTTGAATTATAAATATGATAACTTTCCTATTCAATACTGCAGGCTGTGGTGCTGATATACATGTCATCGTAAAAATTGAAAGTGCCGACTCTATACCAAACTTGCATTCAATTATCACCGCATCTGATGGGGTGCTAATCTAATCCTTGCATCATTTTCTTTAGTGTTGCATTGCATGTATTTTGCTTGTCGGTTAGCACATATTGATTTTGTGGAGTATTTCTGTACACTACTGATTGCTGATGTTAACCTGTGATTTTTACCCTTGTGTTTTAGGCTATGGTTGCCAGAGGAGATCTTGGTGCTGAGCTCCCTATTGAAGAGGTTCCACTTTTGCAGGTAAACTCCTTTACTAAAGGACCAAAGATGAATAGTAAAGATAATAATTGATTTGTATCATTTATCCCACTGGACGGATGTCAAGCTGATGTCATCTTAACATATTCATACTGCCTGTCAATGTAGGAAGAGATTATCAACTTGTGTCGTAGCATGGGAAAGGCTGTTATTGTGGCAACAAATATGCTAGAAAGCATGATTGTTCACCCAACTCCAACCAGAGCAGAGGTATCAGATATAGCAATAGCTGTTCGAGAAGGTTCCGATGCTATAATGTTGTCGGGAGAAACAGCTCATGGGAAGCAAGTAAATAGTTTTCCTGCCCCCAAGTGTCCAATTACTTCATTTTGCCTCAGTTCAAACTTTTTTTTTTTTTTTCCTTCTCTCACCTCTCCCAACCCCAAAATGGAAAAATAAAAATCACACTCATACTTTCTAGTTTATAATTCAGTTAAACACTAGAAGTATAAAAAGAAGAATAGTTGATCGTATAAGAATAAAGTGTTGTGTTTGGGTTACTGAGTTTACATGCTCAAGTAATAATTTTAAGTCACTCTATTTTAATAGTAGCATGTATATGACCTTGTGGCCAAATCTGGGCTTAAATGGCAATGTTTCTAATGTTTGTACAGAAGCAGGGGCATGGTTAATACTGTAAAAATCATGCATTTGAATGTTTTTTATTATGAAGCCAAAAAGAATTATTCAATTTATTATAATGCAAGTTCCCACTAAAAGCTGTGAAAGTAATGCAGACGGTAGCATTGCGGACAGAAGCTACTATACCAGGTGGTCAAATGCCACCTAACATTGGTCAAGTGTTCAAGGTTTAAGTCAATCTATTTTATAACCATGTTGGCTTTTTTATTTAATCCATTGCACTTCCTCATTCGCTTGTCTGATCTGAAATTTGTATCTTTTATTTTTTTATTTGGTTCAATGTAGAACCACATGAGCGAGATGTTTGCATACCATGCAACTATGATGTCTAATACCCTTGGAACCTCAACTGTTGTCTTCACTAGAACGGGTTTCATGGCTATCCTACTGAGCCATTATCGTCCTTCTGGCTCCATATTTGCTTTTACAGATGAGTGAGTTCCTTTTGTACCCTTTCTCTTATTGATAACAAGACCTTCTTAAAAAAATAAAATTATGCGGATATTTTCCCTTATTTGTTTAAATATTAGCTTGAAATTCTCATTTTCTTGGTTGAATGCCTGTATATGTAGTACGACAAAATTGCTTTACTGGTCACCTATTTGACGAATCAGCTTCTTTATTGAATCACAATTCACAACTGTTCTGCTTTTGATTCGTTGGCATCTAAAAAATGATAATCAATTTGCATGCGTATCTGCTTGTATACTATGACAGACTTCTTATCTACCTAATTTTTCTGGTCATGCAGGAAGAGGGTGCGGCAGAAGCTCGCTTTGTATCAAGGAGTCTGTCCCACATACATGGAATTCTGTGACGATTCTGAAGCTACTTTCTCAAGAGCCTTGGATTTGCTGCAGGTAATGTTTGGAGGACGTGTTCAATGGTTTTGTAGTTGTTTTGGATTCAAATTACCTCCATTAAATATTATGATAAATGGTAGTTTGAACTGATTTCAAAATCCCTATATGGCTTCACACTCCTGATTCCATCAGGGATTCAGGGTAGCTTTTACATTCAAGCATTATTTGTTTTAGTCTATTCATGCATGCAGTACCTTATCAATGGACCTTTGTGTGATCTTCTTGCTTCTAGTGCATGCCTGATGCCACTGCTTCATGTTGTACATACCTATGAAAATGTCCATTGTTTCTATTAACTAACCTTTCATATTTTGTGCTATGCCACTAATGGGTAGGGACAATTAGCTCTCCAATTCCTAGGAATTTGTGTATCAAAGTTAAAAAAAAAATCCTTTTAAATGGGTTGTCAAACTTCATTTGAATTTATTACCAAATTGTTGGTCTGAGTCGTAGTACACTTGGTTCCATTAAGCATGGTCTCATACTCGAGTCATGTAGATGAAAAAAGTTGGTTGGTAAGAAAGACTTCACTAAAAGTAGACAAAATCTCTTATGGGGATTAGTTATCGGAGAAACAATAAATATTTCATAATAAAATTATGGTTATAAAAAAACTTCATTTGAATTTAATTTTGATATCATTCGATTTTTTACACATGCCTATTAAATGAAACTCAAATACTAGTTATTTATGTTTGTTCTTTTTTATCATACTAGAACATGGATCTGTACGATTTTTTATTTATTTATTTATGATCACATTGCATGGTTTGCGTGACGTGTGCAGAAGCAAGGAATGGTGAAGGAAGGAGAAGAAGTAGCACTTGTACAAAGTGGTAGGCAACCCATATGGAGGTTCCAATCCACACACAATATCCAGGTTAGGAAAGTGTAAACCAAAAGAATGGAGAGTGGCCACAAATAATGTTTCAAGACGCAGTAGTAGTACGTTTAGCTTCACAAGAGTCAAGAGCATCATCTTTTTATTATTGCCTTTTAGTGGGTTGCTGCCAGTATTTGTTTCTTAGTTGCCTTGTTCCCATCCTATGTTTCATATTCTCTTCTGAATGTTATTGGTTTTATTTATTTCCTCTGTAATTTTGTTTTGTTTCTAAATGTTATTGAAATTTTGGTTTAGCAATTGAATCCAGAAATACGCTTTCAGCATCAAGGACTGACTTGTTCATTGATCTTTCCTTTAACAACTAAACTGACCTTCCCAAATATCTAACTTGATAAAAGATTTCAGATTTTTTGTTGTATAATTTAATATTTCAATATCTAGCATTTTTTTTTAGTTTAAAACCCTGATAGGTTTTTGATAAGATCAATTTTATGAACTCAAATCTCAAATCTGACTCGATCAAGATCTAACAAGATTAGGTGAACCTATTTTGTTAGTATACTAATTTTAACATCATATGTAGTTAAATTTTAAATTTTTAAAAAAGTATATAATTATAGTTAAGGTATTTTTTATAGTATATATTTCAAGATAAATAATATTAATACAAATTTAATATCATCTTAGTTAAAATATTATGAAGTTAAGAAAATATATTATTCATAATTATTATATACATGATATGATGATTCAAAGGTAACTTGCACTTGTCTTTAAAATGTATTGAATTTTTTAAATCCAAACATCTCAAAAGTATTTTGGACTGAATCAGGTTAGTGGGTTGGGTAGGAACATGAACTTCCTTAGCCTTAACTAAAGGAGCACAGTCGATGCTCCTAGTTTTGCAGGGTCGACCTAATTGGTAATCGGTGGATAGATGACTTAATAATTTATTTAACAAGAGCTTAAATGTAAATCAGGTTTTGGATTTGAATGTTAGGATAATAATTTATTAAATAAATGTTTAAATCTCTTTAGGAAAGGTGTTTCTGTGTTTAAAAAGAAAGTTAATACAATTTTGTTTGACGAGTTTGTGTGAGTCTTGAATAATGTCATTTTGGTTAGCTTAACCCTTTGTTTTAATGAACTTAATTGTGATGCTTATGGAATTAAGCTAAAAAGTTCATATAACAAATCTATAAATAGATTCAGTGCAAGCTTTTTTCAAAATGTTATGTTAAAATTTATGTCATCCAATAATGATATTTTTTTTAATAAAATAAACAGCTTTTCTTTAAAAAAAAGTATTTTTGTGATTGTCTAAACTATTTATTATGAAAATAAGTAGTTTTTCTTTAAGAAACAATTTTATCTACTTAAAAAATTACCTTTTTAAAAAAAACTTTAAATATATTTTTTAGTTTAAACAAATTAATCCTATATGTTGTATTTGTGTTTTAAATACATAAAATGAATTGAGTTTTATGCAGTTGTATAATAATGTTAACGATTGATATCGGAGGGTTTTTTTAATCTAAATAAATTAAAAAAATAATTTTTAAAATAATTTTTTTGAAAAATAATTTATTAAAATAAATTAATTCAGACACTGACATGTAAAAAATGTTACTAGAATAATGAGTTGCAAAAAATATCACTATCAAAGATGCCTCGCCCGGGAGTCGCGTGGAATATGAGTTCTTCATCACATCACATGTAAGATATCACATACATTGAAGTTCTGCATTCATGCACCAAAAACGTCACACATGTTATTTTGAGGGAAAAATTCAAAGTTGTGTTACACAGAAGATATGAGTAACAATCCATAGATTCATGCACCAACATTACTCGCCAATACTTTCTTTTCTAGAAAACAAAATAAAGTTAATAACCCTTGAATAAATTAAGAGCTCTATATATCTATCATATCATAATTATATTTTTTTTTCTTTTTTCCTCTCTTTCTTTATCTTTTTCTTTTTCCTTGTTTGCATTTTCAGCTTTACACTGTTGATATTGATTAGTAACATTCACTCCCATCTCTTTCATTTTTCACCAGAATAGTTAGTGTCCTTTTAGCATCAAGTATTAAAGTAAATGTCTCATGGAGGCACTAAAATATCCTGAATAAGAGATTTTTAATAAAAAAAAATATAAAAAAATCACAAAAATATTTGAAGAATCATGATAATACTATGCGACGACCGGTCACGATAAAGACGCTGTGCGTGTGATCATGGTGATGACATTGTGCATGCGATCACAATGATGACCAGTGACGAATTCAAAAATTTTAAATAATGAGAACAATATTTATATACAAATTTATAATAATAAATATATAATTTTACATTTTTTTTGAAATAAAAATATATATCTTAATTGTTCTCTACTAGATTTTATATTATAAAAATACTGAATATTTTTCATTTTCAAAATTATTTTTCTTCGTATAAGTAATAAAACAATCATTTAATCATTCATTTCTCACATTAAAAATATTATCTTTTTAAAAAGATATAATATGAACTTGGATAAACTATCATCTTTTTGACTAAGTTTACTTAATTATAATTGACATAACACATCTTGCATACTACATATAAGTTTGCAAATTCACAACTACTTATTTTTCTTTAAAGGAGTAAGTTAACAAGTTACGTTTAGGTGCATTTTAAAAAATATTAGTTATAACTTGCGAATATATTCTTTTTAAAAAAGGAAATGTATTTTAACAAGTCTCACATACATGTGACATCCATTTATTTTTAAGAAAAATTAAGTTAGCAAGCTACACTAAGATATATTTTTTAAAAGAAAAATATACTTCAAAAATAATATATTGATTTTAACTTTTTTCTTTACAACATAAAACACAAAAAAAATGAAAATACTTAGTTTTTAACATGGTAAATAAATTATTTTATTATAATATATTAAAAAAATAATTGATATAAAAAACCTCAGTAGACTAGTCTAAACCATTTTAGTTACCATTGATTTAAATTCATTCCCACACTTTTATTGTATTCTCTCTATACTGAATACTTTCTTTTATTTCTTCACTGTCACCACATGCCTCTCCGACTATGCCATAACTTCCTATCGTCTTCCTCTTTGTTTTTACTATTCATAATTTTGCTGAGCTTTTAGAATATAAATATTCTTCGACATTACGATTCATGAACATGGCTTGTTCCCCCATTAATGCAACAACGTAAATGTTAATCATGTAAAAATTTGTCTACGATATAATATATTATATAAGAGCAATATTTGAAACAGTGAAAAATATACTTAACAATTTTATTTTATACTAAATTACATTTTTGGTTCCTTATTTTCATCAATATGCAGTTTTGACAAATCTATTTTAAAATAGAGAAGTCTTCTATTTTTTAAAATATAAAATTTTGATTCTCTTATCAATTTGATATTTGTTGATCATAAAATTTTAACATTGTTCAACAATTTATTAATACTTAAATGATGTGATATTAAGTGACATAATATATAAGGATAAAAAATAAAAATAACAAATAGTTTTTTTATATGTATATATTTTTATGAGTGATGATATTTATTTTATTAATAAAAATTTTATATCTTTTTTTTTTTTTTAAACGTCATATTACTAAATATTATATTTTTTAAGTATGAATAAATATTAAAATTTAATAATAAATAAATATTAATTAGAGAATCAAAATTTTATATTTTTAAAATTAAAAAAAATTAAATATATCTATTTTAAAATAAAGAAACTAAAATCATGCCATCCAAAATAAGAAATGATTCAGGAAGCGTGATATTCTCATAAGATGAGAAAAAATCCAATGGTCAATGAAAGTTGTGCACCATAGACCACATGCCAAAGTGATGTACCTACATTGTCTCAAAAGAATGTGTTCTTAACATTTATCTCCGGTAAAAGGAATGTGAAACCAAATGAGATTATCTACTTTATTATTGTTATAAATAAACCTCGAAATTTTTCATAATTTTGTAAGGTCTGGTCATTTTTTTCTAATTTTTTTAATAAAAAAGAAATTGAAGTATTATTATTTCATCTTAATATTTTTTCTCCAAATAGAGCATGGATTATTCTTATACTATTCTCATATTAAAACTTAAAAAATGATAATTGTTGTGAGATTGAGTAAATAACTAAGCTTTCAATTATTCTTACATTGATTCTCGTCGTGCCAATCACTAACTCTAGTGATGTACCTACTGCTAGTAACCTCTTGAGGAGGAACATAGCATTGGAAGACATCTCTTGCCCTTTCTATCATACTCAACCTGAGACAATCTCTCATATCCTTTTAACCTGCAATGTAACATGTTATATGGAATGAGTGTTTTCTTTAGTTGAATACAACAACAGTTCTTCCAAAAGATCCTATCACTAGTATAAAATGGGTCATTTACGTCGGATATTTTAAAGATTTTACGTCAGAAACGACTTCGACGTTAATGCGGGAGACGTAAATTTACGTTGGCTGTGACAAACGACGTAAATTTACGTCGAACATTCCCTAGGACCGACGTAAAATAGGGTTTAAAATTATAAAAAATACACGCAAGAATTTACGTCGGATACACCATGTCTGACATAAATTTACGTCAGACACATCATGTCCGATGTAAATTTACGTCAGACACATCATGTCCGACGTAATTTTACGTTGGTCAATGCTAGATTCAACGTAAATTTATGTCGGACATGGTGTAGTCCGACATAAATTCTTGCATTTTTTTTTTAATTTTTATTATTTTTTGATACACCCAAAACTTGCATACAGTCCAAAATACAAAACCTAACCCAGGTAGTCCAGAATACAAATTCAAATATAATTTATATTTCAAAATTGAATGACAAAAGAAAAATAATATATAAATCTTAAAAAACATAAATTATGACAATGTAAATCCTATTATCCTAAAAAAGCTATAAAACATATGTTTGTCAATGCTATCAAACTAGAAACATAATATCCAACTAACTAAACTTAGAAATCTAACTATTATATACTTTGAAGAAAAAAAGTTGTCCATTATTCTCTTATCTTGATGATTTCATCTTCAGGCAATGGAGATGGATCTTGAAAGACCTGAACATTAATTTAAGTGTCATTAATATGCAATGTTAATTATCGTAAAGGTAAATATACTTAAATAAATTTTTGTTATGAATTACCTGCCCCCAAGAATCATTAATACCCGCGAAAACTATGGCTCTCATCCAATGCATGATATAATAGCCACATTCAAACGAGTCTTGTTACTTATTACACTAAGATGAGAAACAAATAACTATTATTTCCAAAGTCGATAAATTTAAATATTATTGCCTCTATTAATTAATTTGCTAACCTTAGGGTATATGAAGTGCAATGTCTTTGATCTGGCTCTTCCACTTAAAATATTAGCTCTAGACACGATTCTAATTAATTGAAATAAAAACATATATTAGCCAATATATATAATTACAGTTTTAAAACATAATGAAAAATTTTAGTTACCTTTGTAATTGGCATTTAATTTCGTGGCTTGGTTTTCGATGTAGTGAACAAAACCACACCACGGTGTATTCCTTAGGAATGATTACCATTAACTGCCAATGGGACCTACATTGTATGACAAACACATTAGTTATAAAATTACCATGATTAAAAAACCAATTAAAAAACTAACCCGTCAATGTATGGAGCCATGTATATATCTCTTCCTGATTCACTCATCCATGTTTGCATATATTGCTGGATCTGGACCTGAGTGTTTCCTGATTTTTGGATGGATTGAGGCTCAATAAATCCATATACTTGTGCTTGTGCTTGCTCTACACTCAATTTGTTCATGTACCTAACATAATTAATTATTATAAGTTAAATGTAATTATTGTAATTTTAGACTCATAAAAGAAAATATCACTTACATGGCCCACATCTATATGATAGATATATTTAAAATGGAGTTTCCCCCAACAATCTCTAATGCGTCGGGCAGGGATATGTATAGTGGAACATTAGAGCTATCAACTCCAAAAACTCTAATGTCCCACTGCAATTGAATTGGTTTCTTCTTCAATCGTGGTAATATGGTTAGAAGCCTAGATATGGGATCATCCTCAGGTTCTGCGCGATATCAACATCATCAACAACAGGTTCTCTCATGACCTCCTTACCACGATTGATAAAATCCTAAAGAAATAATCAAAATTAGTTAAACAATAATAGAATTATAAGAATATAAAAGAGCAATAATAAAAAATTACCTTTGTCCGTGCTGAAAGCAGCATCACCAAATGTTTTGGCCAAGCTAAGATTGTGCCGGTTGCCTACCCCACTAGTTGAACCTCTATATTGGCAAAGGCACTGGAGCAGCAACATCTTGAACTTGGTCAAGCACAACCCATGTCCAGTTTGGTTGTAGAGGGACACCATAGATGGTTGAGCCACCTCAAATACTCGACCAATAGCCACTAACCGTGGGGGGTCATCCTCAACATATAACTCACACTTGTGACACCACTGGTTTGGTACATCAGTGTGAGTCTGTTCCCTAGAGGGATCTAGAGCAGCACAACTCCCTATAGTGCTGACTTGAACACCATCATGAGCAACTACAATCTTTTGCTAAGAACGAGCCAAGAGCTCAAACTTCTGTCCAAACTCTTCTCGAATGTTCTTCAATTTCTCTTCAAATTGCATCTCCATTCTCTACATAGCCTCCTGACTGCGAGAGTCAACAGTACTGCTCCTCGATGGTGGTGCACCAAAGTAATCTCAGTGACTCTAAGAACCACCAATACCACGTTCATGCCCTGCATGCTCTGGCCTTCCTATGACCGTTGTGAGTATATCATCCCGACCATGGGGAACAAATGAGCCTTGGGTGGTATGCTCAACTAAACCCTCCTGCAACATATTAACAATAAGTATACCCTACACTACACTTATGAATTGAATGAGTTGAAATAAAGAGTCTTACTTTGTATATTTTTACTTACTATTTTATCAATAACGACCCTTGCAGACTCATAAGTCATTTGCCCATCTGATTTTGTTCGGGCTGCTATCCACATCTCATAGCGGGGAGGTAATTTCACACGGTCAGCAGACTCAATCCCTGATGCCTATGCCCTAGCCTTCATCATTTTTTTTTAATTCATATCCCCTCTTGACAATAGATGGGGTGCATCATTCTTGCTCTGTCGTTCTTGGGTAGCTACTCTTTTGGCCTGCAATAATAAAAATAAGAAAATGAGATTAATTAAAATATACCTTAAGTATTTGTATCAATGTAAGAATTATCAATAACTAACCTGCCAAGAAGGGTCCAATCGAGTGGCACGAAATTGCATCCACTCCTCATCAGTGATCTGGTACTTTAGACAGGGAGTCTCATTTTGTCGCTCTCCAAATACATACTCCCGTGTCAAGAAAGTCTTGAAGGTGGCAACGGCAGATAACATCTTCCTCCTTATGACCTCAGTGTTGGGAATGTCAAAATTTTGCTATCAAAATAACAACAAATAATAAATAATGTATTTAAGTTATATAATATTGAAGGGATGTAAAAGTATATACCTAAATATCCTGCCACATGAGGTTCTTGTCAGCCTCTTCAACGTCATCCCATGATGGAATGATAATAGAAACATATGACGTTAAGCTAGGACTCCCAAATAGCTCCTAAACTTGGTAGCATTTGGGCCTGATGTCTTGCCAGAACGAGGATCCACCTCAACCGGTGTCTTCTCCTTGGCAATGCGTCCAGCTGTCAACCTAGACAATCGGGTGACAGATCTACCTTCCCTCCTTCCACTGCTAGACCCCAAATCTACCATAATCCTTAAAAAATTAAACTCTCATTATTAAAACAACGAATTAACTCAATAGACAAATAAAGTAAAAAAGATAATAACAATATAGCAACAAAATAACTAATAAAAAAATGAATAATACACAAACACAAACCTATTAGGTTGGTATGTTTTCCCATATTCCTTCATCATGATCACTTCGAATAGCATGTATTTTGTCCACTTCATTGTCCGCAATAGGACCAAATGATCTACTTGAGAAAGAGGTGCCTCATGCATATCTAGAGACTCATCTTCGTGAGTTTCATGCATGGTTCTTCCTTCGAGGACCACTGGCCATTTCTCATTACATGGATCCCTAACATAAAAAAATTGTATTGCTTGATATGTCATAATAAAAGGTTCATCCTTATAACCGACCTTGTTCAAATCAACCAAAGTAAATCCTAAATCATCTGTCCGCACACCCGTATTGCCATCAACCCATTTACACTTGAACACAGGCACTCTAAACGTAACATAATCAATTTTCCATATGTCTTGTATGACTCCAAAATAACTCATGGATGTTGTAATGAGATTTTTATCTTTAGAACTAGCAAAGGGCACAACCTCAGCCTGAATTGTAACCCCACTGTTTTGCACTCTACTTTTGTCATCTTCATCTTTGTATAGAAATAATATTTGTTAATGTCATACCCACCAAATGTAATGACATCGTTGTTAGGCCCACGAGTGAGTCTCAAAAGTGTATTAGAAGCATTAACCTCATCGTAAACCTTTTTCTTAAACCAAGCTAAGAAACTCTTGTTATGTTCATTCAATACCCATTTCTCATTCATTCGGGGGTGTGCTATCTTGATTTCATGTATGTGTTGCGATATGTAAGGAATTACTTCATCAGTGTTATTCAATATGTACAAATGTGCTTGGTCAACTTCTGTTTGACTCACAGTTCTAATCTTTAAACTTTGAGTACCCTTACCAAAATGTTTCCCATCATGTCGAGTCTTAGGAATTCCTATTGGTTCTGATTTCGACATGTACCCTGAACAAAACTCAATGGCTTCTTCTGCAATGTACCTCTCCACAATAGAGGCTTCTGGGCGATATTGATTCTTGACATATCCTTTTAAGATCTTCATGTATCTCTCAATAGGGTACATCCATCTAAGATAAATCGAGCCACACAATCGAATCTCCCTAACCAAATGAACTATCAAATGCACCATGATATCAAAAAATGAAGGTGGAAAATACATTTCCAATTGACACAAGATTGTGATTGCTTCATTTTCTAACTCATCTAACTTTAGAGAGTCAATTACTTTGTTGCAAATGGTATTGAAGAATAAACACAATCGAGTAATAGCAATTCTAACAGAAGATGGTAAAATGCTACGAATAGCCACAGGCAAAAGTTGTTGCATTAAGATATGAAAATCGTAAGTCTTTAAACCAATTAACTTCAAATCTTTCATAGACACCAGACTCTTAACATTTGAGGAGTACCCTTGTGGAACTTTCACACTGCGTAAGCACTCATAAAAGCTTTTTTTTTTCTTTTTTTGATAGAGTATGACAAGCTGGAGACAAGTAAGTGCGTCTTCCAATAGACCGAGGATGTAACTCAGAACGTATACCCATGTCCACCAAATCTTGTCGTGCTTTCACTCCATCTTTAGTCTTTCCTTTGATGTTTAGAAATGTCTCAATTACACTATCACAAACATTTTTCTCCACATGCATCACATCTATACAGTGTCTAACATCTAGCTTGCACCAATAAGGAAGATTAAAGAATATTGATCGTTTCTTCCAGATATTTCTCTCAGTTGACTTCTTTTGCGTCTTTCCGAACACAATGTTAATGTTCTTCACCTGTTGATATACTTCTTCACCATTGCGCGGTGTCGAGGCAATTTCATCCTCCTGACATCCATTGAATGCTTTCTTCAATCTACGGTATGGATGACTACGAACAAGAAACTTACGATGCCTAGTGTACGCAGTCTTTTGCCCATGTTTCAATTGGGTATAACTTGTGTTTTCTTCACATATAGGACATGCATAATGACCCTTCACACTATACCCACTCAAGTTACCATATGCTGGAAAATCATTTATTGTGCAAAATAACATTGCACGCATGGTAAATTTTTCTTCACGATATGCATCAAAGACCTCCACTCCTGTCTCCCACAACATTTTCAAGTCATCAATCAATGGACTAAGATACACATCTATGTCATTTCCTGGTTGTCGGGGTCCTGATATCATCATAGACAACATAATATATTTTCTCTTCATGCATAGCCAAGGAGGCAAATTGTAAATGACCAACAAAACTGGCCATGAACTGTGTTTACTACTTAAGTTCCCATAAGGATTCATGCCATCTATAGCTAGACCAATTCTCAAGTTTCTTGACTCTGCACCAAATTTTGTAAATGTTTCATCAATCCTCTTCCATTGCGGAAAATCAACTGGATGTCGAAGAAATTTGTCACATTTTCTACCATTTTCATGCCATGTGAGGTTTTTAATGACAAACAATCTTTTAAACCTAGGTATTATTGGCAAATACCATAAGACCTTAGCAAGGGGACCCTCTATTTCTTCTTCACCACTACTTCCATCAGTTTTCTTTTTGAACCGCGACAATCCACATGTCGGACACACTTTCAATGTAGCAAAATCATTTGTATACAATACACAACCATTAGGGCACGCATGTATCTTCTTATACTCCAAACCTATTGGAAATAGTATCTTTTTTGCCTCATAGTTGCGATTAGGTAACGTGTTATCTTCTGGAAGCATCTCCTTCCACAACTCCAACAATTCTCTGAAACTTTTATCAATCTAGCCATTTCTTGCTTTTAAACTAAACAATCTTAAAGTTGTTGATAATCTTGTAAGCATACTGCATCTTGGGTACAATGGTTGCTCAAAATAAGACTTTAAGGTATCATACATATGTGCTCTTTCTAAATTTTCTTCACCAACATCACGTATCATCTCTTCTAAATTATCGTCCATCTTTTCAAAATTTTCAGTTGTTGACATCGTTGGAATGTCTAATATTTTTTCGTGCCATATCCATATTGTATAACTCTTCACAATACCAAATATAAATAGGTGATCACGTATTTCCCCAACTTGACGTATCTGATTCAAACAACGAACACATGGACAATAATATGCCCTTTGATGGGTTTTCCATTTTCTTTTGCAAATTGCAAGAACTCTTCAACTCCATTTCTCAACTTTTGACTAATGCGACTTTCATTCATCCAACTTCGATTCATTATCTATATATTAACACAAATTAACTATTGACTCAGTTATTCATAATTTTTCTAACCTAAACTACAACCCTAAAAAATCGATAGTAATTTCAGATAAAATCGATAAATACTTCTACTAATAAGATGCTAAACTAAAGGTTAATGCCTAACTTGCTCCCTCTTAATAATTAAATTGTCCTTCTTTAATGCATCTGGAATGGCCCGTTGTGAAACCAGAACAGGTCATTCCAGATGGACAATTAACACAAATTTAATGCGTCTGGAATGACCCATTCTGAAATCAGAAAGGCCCATTCCAGCTGCATTAGTTTTGTATTAATTGTTTATCTGGAACAGCCCGTTCTGGTTTCAGAACGGACCGTTCCAGATGAACAATTAACAAACAACAAATTCAAGTAGAACGACCCGTTCTAGTTGCAGAATGGGTCGTTCTAGATGAACAACTAATAGAAAATACAGAAAATAATGCGTAGAAGAAAACTAAGTCGAAACTAAAATCAAACGTGCAGGCCCAATGCAAAACAACTTAGAAAGGTGTATTGTACAGAGACTTAGAAACAACTTTGTGCAAACAAACGAACGTACTTAGAGAAGAACTTAGAGACTTTTGTAAACTAAGACACGCACGGGAAAAGAACAAAAGGGTTGACATATAAATAATAATTTACGTTGGACTAGGTGTGGTCTGACGTAAATTATACAATCTACGTCGGAGGTGTATTGTGGTCGACGTAGATTGTATAATTTACGTCAAACCACACCCATTCAGACATAAAATAGTCAATTTTTAATTGCAAAAATGCCATCGCTTATTTTTAATGTCGTATTTTTGAATTTCTGACGTAAAAGAGGTGACGTAGTAACCTAATTTTGCACTAGTGTATAATGCATCACAACTCTATCCCAGCTGTTCTTGACTCAAAAGAAAAAACACAAAAATTGAGGGTGATATGGTGTGTTATTGGGTGAAATATTTGGAATCAGAGAAATGCATGTGTATTCAGGCATAATCATTTTGTTCAGCAAAAATTAATGAAGGAAATGATCCTCACAGCTTGGAAGTGGCTGAGTGTAAAACAAAACAATTTTCATATTCCTTTCTACTTATGGTCAATTAATCCTAGCCTGTGCATTTAAAAAAGTACTTGACTGGAGCTGATGGTTCACCCTCAAAAGGATTATGTACTTAGTGGTGCTGGGTTGTTTTAGGTACCTAAACTATTATTTATTTTTTGGAGCCCCAGATTAAAATATAATTTGATATCACACACTCAAATTAGTTTTAACCAATGGTATTATAACCTTCTATTTATTTTATGTATATGGATTTTGGTACACCTCAATATATTAATATAAATATTTGTTGACTGATAAGAAGAAAACTAACACTAGTGATAATATAATGGCACTTTTGACGATGATCACGAACTCTAGTGGTAATACAAACAAAGGTTCCAATGCTAAAGGCATTGTTTGTCTTAAATATTTATAAATTAGGAATAATTATGTACCTTTTACGAATAAGTCCGCTTTATATATAGAAAACCTTTGACGAAAGTTATGCTTGTTATGTCACTTGAAAAGTAGTGTTGGTAACCGAGAAATGTCATTTTGATTACGTTAAATCACTAACTAGTCCGACTTTATAATTTAGTGTTCGCTCTAGATCAAAAGACTATTTACACCTTATATGATAAGGTCATGAGTTAAAACGATCTCTAGAACAGTTGTCCCAAGTAGGTATTACTTAGTGAAAACAATGCTTGTCAAAGAGTTTAAAGCTGAGATAAACCTCTAGAGGAATATCCAAATATGACAAAGATTTCTTATAAATAAAATTGCTTATTTAAATTTTAAAAATTGAATATATTTTCTCTAGCCAGTGCATATATGTCTTTTGTTTGGTTTATATAATTGTAATTTTTATAATATGTGATTAATTGTTATAAATCTTGTAGTTCTTGGTTCAATTTAATATATTAATTTTAATTATAATTTACTTTTAGTTTTTATACTACTACAATTTTTCTTATTATATGCGACTTTTTCTATGAATTTTTCATGAAATTTTGCAGGAAACGTTGTTTCTACAAATTGTTTTGCAAAATTTTATCTCTAAGTAATACTTTCGTGGATAATATGTTTTTACAAATTTTAAAATTTGCAAGAAATTTTCCTGCGAAAAAAATTTCATAGGAAAGTTTCCTGTGAAATTTCCTGCGAATTTTTTTGCAAAAAAAAAAAAAATCAAAGAAATTACTACTTGAAGGTACAATTTTTATTAATAATTTTTCAACTTTCAAATGCTGTAAATTATAGGTCTAACATTCAACTATATAAAATCAACTTGTAAGGTGAGTGTGTTACCCCAACTTATATACTCTTTAATTATTTTATTTCTAATCAATGTGGGACTTGAGGAAATCTTTTAATTCTTAAACTTATAAGCTTATATATATATATGTATTTTTTGTTTTTCTTGCGAATTAAAATTGACAGGAAAATCTATAAGAAAAGTTACCTGCGAAATTTTTTTACCATTTAGTAAACATTACTTGCGAATTTATTTTTACAAGAAAATTTGCAAGAAAAAGGATAAAATTCTTACAATATTTTCTATAAATTTTTACCATGAAATTTTTTTTCCTATGATCATTAAAATTGTAGCAAAATTTGCAAAAATAAAAAATTATGAATTATTTTTATAAAAAAATTTGTAAGAAATTTCTATAAATTATTTTTCACAAATAAATTTGTAAAAAAATTTTGTAAAATTATTATTGTAAAAAAATTCGTAAAAAAATTTGCAAAAAAAAATGATACTTTTCTAGTAGTGTTATGTTTGACCCCTAAAAAAATAATCTTGCATTAATTGTACCTTACCACATCTATTACTTTTTCTGTTTTTTCCCCCTTATTTTTCTTTCTCCACCACCCCATTCCACAGCATTATCTTTCTTTCATACCAAGTAATAATGCGATAAAAAGATAGGATGAAAGAAAATAAAAGGCCAAGATTATCAATCTTAATGAAAATCTCAGCATGAAATAAAACCTTTATTTAAAGCGAAATCCAGTACATGCGTGTAATGAAACACGCATAGATCGCGCATTAGTACATACTTATTCAGTTATTCCACACATAGAGAGAGTGCCTAATGGCTATTTTCCGTACAAACAAGTACGCATCGTGCATGCATGCATGCGTGGTTCTGATCTACAGAGGCAGAGACTTAGACCCCAAACCATAGAAACTTTTGGACGCAAACGCATCACCATCACACACACATTTACAATCTTTCCCAACGCTATCTTTAATCTTCGTAGAGTAATCACTTTGCTTATCACTGTACCTATCCCATATCATAACCCCACCATAGTTGGAAGCAAGCTTCACGCTCGGAAGAATCTCAGAAACAACAACTTCGGGTGCCACATACCCCACCACGTCTTCGGAAGCCGCAAGCCCCAAGAATATCGAACTCGAGGGAACATTTTTGGTCCACGTGTTCCACGCACTCAAGAGTTTCGAAGCGTCGTTGTTCGCGTAGATGCAATCAGGGTTTGGGTTGAAGAACTCGACCCAAATGTAATCAAAGAGACCAGTTTCTATTGCTTTTCCCAGGTAGTAATCTGGGTACACGCATTGTGGTGATGCTGAAAGGTAAATTTTTCTGGCGGTTGTGGACGCGTTAATGGCGGTAACAACTTCGTCCCATTTAAGGTTATCTCCGTCCGCCACGTCAGCAATGTCGATGCCGTCCAACGCCACGTTTCCCAATGGACCGGCTTTGCCACTGAGGTAATTCTCCAGGAGGTAGGTTGCGAGTTCTTGCGCCGCTTCCGCTGACCGGTAGTGCCGGTTTCCGGTTTTTAGGGTTGGTCTGTCTTGGCCAATGGAGAGGATTACTTTGATGCCCTTTTGTTGGCAGTATTCTATCTCTGGCTGGAGTTTGGTGCAAGGGTTTGTGCTTGAACCGCAGTGACCTGCTAAGTTTAACTCTGGGGTGGTTCCATCGTCGTGCACGATTAGGCTTTCTAGGATCACGATTTTGTAGTTCCCGGTCTCGCATGCACTTTGTAGGGTGCTTTCGTCTTGGTCAGAGGGTCTTTGGCCCCAGTAAACAGAGATGGCTCCGGCTCCGCTGCAGTCGGCGGCGTTGGAGGTGGTTGTGAAGGAGAGGGTTGCAAGGGCCAAGAGAAGGAGGGTGGTTGATAGTTGTTTTGGGATGGCCATGGTTGTTGGGTTGTTATATTATGGTAGTGGTAGCCTTGTTTAGGTTTATGATTTGTAGAGTAGAGTAACAACCAATTTATAGTGCAGCTATGTATATCATTATTGATATGAAAATTTTCTTTCAATTAATATATACATTATACATTGTCAGTGCAAAGTTTTTTTTATACCGACAACTAATTATATCTTTTAATTATACTATATCACTATAAATACATTTATTTTTAACAGTGACATGATATAATTAAAAGATATAATTGGTTGCTAGTGTAAAA